AGGCACGTGCCAAAAAAGCCGAGCGCAAGCGTCTTCAACCCACCCACCGCTGTGCTTCGTCCACGCCCCGCCAACAATCCGCCACACATGACGAAAACCCAGGTGGACAGAGAGGCACTCATTCTCCGCGTACCGAAGCTCAGCTCACGCAGCAGCCAATCGGCGAGTTGCGGTACAGCGCCATTTAGAATGTCCCCATTCAACTGCGGTTTGTATCTACTTCTATGAGACAGCGCCGCTTATTAAGTGTGAATACACTTTATAAGCGACCCCAAACCATCCACCGCCGTTGGCGGCGTCCGCAGCCTTCTCTCTATCTTTAAAAGAAAGAGGACTTGGCGGGCCGCAGCGCGATGCTCTACCGAATAAGCCACGGACGCGACGCTGATATCGGTGTCAGTAACGCGCCTTATATCTTTAACGCCGCTGCGCGCGTCCCCTCCCCCTTCGCTCGCTCCTCCGCTATCCTCGCTCGCTGCAGCTGCGCGCCCACCCCTCTCTCTCGCGCGCCCGCCTTCTCTCTCAGTCTACTGTCGAGAGCGGGTCGTGCGATGGATGTCCCGGAGGCAACGCTACCATCAACAACGAATGCAGTACAACCGAATGCCAGCACTGCACCCGTCGTTGGAGGTGACGGTACCGCGGTGGTTTCGCCGACGTTGGAAGACAAGGCGGCGCTGCGAAGGGCTCGTGAGACCGAACGTAAGCGGGCGAAGCGTGCAGCGGATGCCGAACTGCGTGCTCGCGAGGCCGAGGACAAGCGGGCGAAGCGTGCAGAAGATGCCGAACTTCGCGCTCGCGAGGCCGAGGACAAGCGGGCGAAGCGTGCAGCGGATGGTGAACTGCGCGCTCGCGAGGCGGAGATGAGGCGTCAGCATCGAGCCGCGAACGCGGCCCAAGAAGCGGAACGACAACGCAAGCGTCAGGAGGAGAAGGGCGATGAAGGCCGGCGTCAAGACGCCGCTCGCAATCGTCAACGGCGAGTGGACGTTCCCGCATTCGCCAGTGAGTTAACGTAAACTCCCCCGTGTGATCAAATTGCGATTCCCAGGAACCATTACACCATAAAGGCACCATAGTGTGATTAAAAAAATATAATAGTGCGAATTAATAAATACCCCTCATAGCATCACCCCGTGCATTCGCACTTAACCATGTTCACCCTCGGGGAAATGCTTGGGAGTTTTTATACTGTTCGGGAGATATTGGCTTTTCTTTCTCGTCTCTTCTTCTCTCAGTTACACGTGACGCGTGACAGGGTCAGACTAAGAGGAGCTTTACCCCTAAAAAAATTCGAAAGAGGGGATGACAGGCTGTTAAGATAAAACCATAGCTATCACTTGGGATATACCTTGTTAGTCCCTTTGGTTGCGTCTACTGAGGCACTGCATGCGAATAGCGGGGCGTTTGCTAGCGTTTGTCATGGATAAGGAGAGCAAACTTTCTGCTCAGTGGCATAAAAGAGCGCACATCCTCAACTCATCGAATCCCGAAGTAGTCGCCTGGCAATCAACGGTTGCGAAGAACGAACAGAAGAAGGCCAAACATGTGGAAACACCGGAAAAAAAGGGAGGAACGTCAAACAAAGCGGCGTCGCGATGCAGGAGGCCGGTTGACTGATTATACGGTGAAACTTTGTGAAAGCGCTAGTCCGACTCGGTCCTTGGAGACGAACTTCGTAAACAGTTTGTTTGGATATGGGTGCGACGAATGGACAGCCTCCTCCACAAGAATGACGTGGTGCCGGTAATTAGTTCCTTGCGTGAAACGTTCAGCTTAGCCGACGCCCCTTAGCTCACGCTAAGTATATCCTGGCGTATCCGAACGAAGTCACTGCGCCTGTACGTTTCATTACGCCGTTTCGTGCAACCGTTTAAGCGCTTAACGGTGGTAGAACATATAGCCAAGCGTGTTATTTTGACGTGTGTGTATTTAACCAGCTAATACAGTTTGCAGCGCTTGGAGGCGACCACGCCTCAATGTTTCTGGAGCTTCCAGATTGTTTAAGATGATTTCCTTAAGATTGCACGCAGGACGTGAATAGTTTACTTTTTTTTCTTTTCTTTGAGAGCTGATTGTCAAGTTTATAGGCGGTGGACGCGAGACTTGTTTACCGCTATCAATGTGCAAGGCATATATTTAGCGTTATCATTTTTCGTGGGCGCAGGTTCACTCGAGTAAAGAGTCATCTTGAATACGCCTATTACTGCCTTCGTCAACGTCACGACCATGGGACAATATTACGGTGCTAGCTACGAAAGAGAATCAACTCACCGAAGCACTGTCGAGTGACCAGGGCTGTCATCACCGCGGCGATGGTGAGGGTAAGAAGTGGCAGCACGGACAGTGAGGCTGTAAAAGTGACAAAACAAATTTATGGGCAGCGAAGGGGGTGGCACTGAACTGCGCTAGCAAGTGGATAGGTGCTGGTGATTATAAATATTCCTTTTAGTCCTAAGTTCTGTTCAATGTAGGGAGCGTTACGAAAAAAAAAACACCTGTTCACGTACTCTTCAATAAAGCTGAAGTATTGATTCAATGAACTATTATCATTTACTATAGTTCAACTAAATAGTTACGCACTTTCTCTTGATTATCATCTCATTATTCAAAACGTATTTAGATGACATAAATACTACCTGCTGGACATAATTCAAAACTTGGATACTAAGCTAGAATAAATGCCCTAATTACTTCCCTGAAGTGAAAGAAGCTGCCTCAATGGAAAAAGGGAACAGCGCGAACGCTTCTGCAATGGCTCCAATCACACGTGGCCTCACTTTCTGGAGTTTACCAGGTTGGCAGCGTACATAGAACACATGCCAACGTTGGTAGCCTTGAAAAAACAACCAGACATTTTGTTCTACCAAGTGGTATCCAAAAGACCTACAAAATTCGCAATACGGTTTCCGAAAAGATAAATCCACTGAGCTCGCATTGCTCACGCAAAACGAAATAATTATTTAAGTGTTCGAAAGTAAAAACTTGGTTCTCAGTATCCTTTTGGAGTTTGCGAAAGAGTTCGACCTCATTAACTACAACCTACTAATTAAAAAATTGAAGCACTGTGGCATTCAAGGAAAAAGCTTTTTTGCTTATCACATCTTATCCGCAAAATCTTACGCAGTTTGTCATGGTTGATGGCCACTAATATTCAATTAACCCAGTTAATGCAGGTGTACCACGAGGGAGCATTCTCGGTCATTTTCTCTTGGTTTTTTATATTTATGATGTTGTTCACATGATCGTACGGCAAAACATGTACTATACGCTGATGATGCTGGCCTCTTTTTCGATGGCTCGGATGTTGCACGTCTTTCGCACCGGGCAAATGAAGCACTTCATTTTATTCACTCGTGGGCTACTAGCAATGATCGGAAACTAAACATCAGTAAAGCTAAGGTCATTTTGTTTCACTTGCGGAACAATTCCTGTGCGATCCCCCGATTAGTGCTCAATATTTCTGAAATGGAAGTTGTGAATACATTCAAGACACTAGGCGTATATTTCTCGAGTAACGTGTCCTGGGATGATCGCATCAATTAATTGCTCAAAAAGCTGTCAAAGGTAATTGGCCTGATGCGTTGACATTGCTTTACCTTCACTCTTGCAATTAAGATTATAACATACAATGCTACATTTTCCTCCACTTTGACTTATGGTGCACTGGTCTGTAGGACAATAACACAAGAAAATATAAAAAAAAACTTCTGTTACTACAAAAGCATGCAATACGCATAGTTTTTACCGATCTTACCTAAGTCACACACAGGACATGTTCGAAAAGCTTGAAATTGTAAGCGTATGAAACATACACATTTTTAGATTACTTCGGCCACCCAAGTTAGAAAAAAAATTTCCCCTTCTAAAGACATTGGAGAAATTGACAAAAAATGACCCTGCATATCACACATGCCATCCTGAGATATGGAAAGTTCAAAAGTGCCACACAAATATGGAAAGCAAATGCTCGGGTACACATTACCTACACTACTAAACGAACTTGCCAGAGATGGTAGCGACGTAGCTTCAATGACTCTGAATCAGTTACGAGATATGTATGTGCAACTATAATTTTTTCTAGTTCAAGGTACTATATAAGCTTGTTGTCATTATTTGAAATTTAGTGAATTTCCAATAGTTCTGATATGTAAAGAATAAATATTTTAATAATAAAAATTGCAATCTAGAAAAGTTCTTGCTGTCCAGATGTGTATAAGTCAACTACTACGAATTGCAATTCAGAAAAGTTTTTACAATTATGTTTATGTATGGTTTTTCTTTATTGATGTGTGAACGTACTTTTTCGTGCTTTTGTCTTTGTTCTTTCTTTCTCTCTTCATATGTTGCATTTTATTTTCATTGTTGTTGTAATCCCCCCCACTGTATGCCATAGTCTGGTGCACGGATCTAGTCAAGCCTTCTCAGGCTTTCTGTCTGTGCAACAAACATCTCTCAGACGTTGAATAAACGGAATTGGTTTGAATATAAGATCGGCGATTCAATTTGTAATCACTGATTTTCGAAAGGCCATGAGGCAGGTACGTATATACTGAGGCCATATTCGCAAAACAATGCAAATTTGTAACAGCGAAGCTGCTTAAGCCAATCGTACCATGTATGTGAGGCCTGTAAGAAAATTATCACCAATAACAGGTTTGCGTCACAAAAATTGAGCAAACATCCCTCTCACAACTGGTTGACTAAAGATGAAGAAAGGAAACATGTACCGCCGCAACAAATGGCTGCGAAGCGACGGTGGCAAGCTGAAGATTGCGGGTACGCACAGTGAGGGATTGGGCCCGGGCAAGGGAACGGTGGCCACGAGAAGGCCCCGAAGCAATGTAAGGTCTCGATAAAAGAGCATCTTACCTGCGTCGCCCTTGTCTCCGGTCTTTTTGTCGTCCGGATTTTGTGGACTCGGAGCTGGACCCGGAACTGGGCCTGGACCTGGAGGTGGAATAGCCGACTCGTGGACCGGCACCGCTAAGGCTTTCCTACTGTCGATGTCCAAGTCGGCGTGACTCGCCCTGGTGTCGACGCAGTAGACCGAGAACCACGTGAAGTCGTTCCAGTTTTTACCGGTGGGCAGTGATAGCGTTACGTCTGTCTTGGCGATCCTGGGAAGCTTGTCTGTACTGCATGCGCGGATGGAATAATACAGTGCGCCGATTGCTAATCGGTAAACCCCGGTGAAAGCGGACGTTTCCGCGAGCATCTCCGAGCACAGCAACGCCATATAGGCACTTCGAACTTGAGCGCCCGTTTTTTTAAAAAACTTGTTAGACACATCCTCAAATAGTTGTAGGGCTTAGCGTGCCTGAACCGCGATATGGTCTTGACACAACTGTGTTTACACAATGTCGACAAAAAGTACAAGACAACGCACAGATATGCCCTATCAAAATGTAGGAGAGGACGGCGGCCACCGTATGCTAATTAGTAGAGAATCGGACACGTTATTCCAAGGCTGCACGTTTGATCCCTGTCAGGTGGCAAGTTGTCATTTCATTCTCTTTAATTTTATTATGCTTAAACTGTAGTCACTACAAACATAGTCTCTGTACCTTCCGTGGCTTGATTTTTAGTTCTCATTACCAATGCCAGAAGCCACACAGTGAAAAATGCACCGTACAACAAACGCACTAGAAGAACATTGTATCGCTCTCAGTGCGTTTTGAATTCACCCTGTGGTGTTACCATTGATAATCGAACAACTGGTACTTCACAAACATCTTCTCGCTCTATACATTGTTTGATTGCGGTGTACATTGCTTGTTCCCGCCATTTTGTACGGGGCCGTGGTTCGAACCAAGCTCGCGTAGAGACTTTTCCTGACCCCGGCCCTCAGCATCCCAAAAAATGGAACGCAGGAAAGAAAAAAAAAAGCTTCGAAGTACATACCCTTCATGGTCTTAGTCAGTGTAGCAGCCTTGAGTAAAGTTACCCGCAAACGTTTTCAGTACAAGTAGGGCATATTCAAAATGTGCAGGACCATCTATCGACAAACCCGTAATGTCGATCCGCAATGTTTTGTTGGGCGCGACAACAAAACCAGCCTCATATCGCATCCTTTCAGGTGCTAGTTGCTGTTCATTTAATCTTCGTTCTGCGATGACTTCCGATTTCTACTTGTGTTGTTCACGCAACGAGGAATCCCTGATAATGCCGGGAACAAGGCGTCACCGTCGAGCAGCCGTAGTATCCCCAATATCAATCAAATATATCAGTTACCCGAACGAAGGAAAATAAACTACTGACACCAGCTCGTTCTGTCAACAATATTGGCTTTGCACTTTAGTTCGGAAATGATAATCTGGCACGCGCTAAACTGCTCTTCAACCTCACTGAGGAGCAGGATTGATCAACTTTAGCTTGCGGACGTTTCAGGTCAACGAAAACTAGAATTTACGTACATGAACTTGCAAGCAGTGCAACGGAGGCTGACGAACACAGCAGCAGGAAATGAGTGCTGCCACAGGAGGCTCGATTTGCACGAAAGCCCCTAACGGATCTCTACGCAAGATTCGCCTGCACGTCCCAAAACCACTATACAGTCATGAGATACGCCGAGTAGGGCTCCGGGAATTCCGACCATTCGGTGTTCTTTAACGTAAACTGACACCGCACAGTTCACTAGCCTCCACCGTTTCGCCTCTATCGATATGCGACCGCCGTGGCCGGGATCGGGTCAGCACTTTCAGGTCAGAACTTCCGGGTCAGCAGCCACGCACCCTAGCCACTGACCTACCGAGGCGGACAACGGGCGAGTTTGTAAACGCGCGCAGAACTCCGAAGTTTCGTTCTCGTCAATGTCTAAAAGCACAGTGAGCTTCACTGAGCATTCAGTGCTAGATTACGGGAAAAAATGGCACGTTTCCTTAACCTGAAAGCTCCGCAAACGAGTGCAACTCAGCCTCTCCATGGGATCTCCTTTGGAAACGGTAGCAGATGATGCCACGGTTTCGGCCAGAAAGAAAAATGGCGGACGTACTTATGGGTTACCGAAGCACCAAACATTATGAGTATACGCCATTGGTGTCACATATATCTTTCATTGCATCAGAGTATGTATAGAATCGAGTAGCGGCATCGTCAACGTGCTATATTTATTGATGTAATGTGTTCTGGAAGTTCTGCGCCAAAAGCCTGCATGCAATACATACATGCAATAGTTGCAATACATGCAATACATGCAATACATACATGCAAAGCCTGCATGCAATACATACATGAAATAGTTTCCTTAGTTCTTCGGGTTGCTACGATCGCATTGTGAAATAGTGAAACAAATACACATACGCAGGCTAGAGAGACGCTACGAAAGTTTCCTCTTTCTAGCAAGTGTCGTCGGCGTCTTTTGCGCTATTCCGCAATGCATCCTTATCAACCAGCTCGGCTCTGCTTAAATATTGTCATAATTTTTATCTACAAGTTGGAGCTCGTGACTTTACGTTTAGAGTGCCACTCAAAAAAAAGAAAGATCTAAAGTTAAACACAAAACACGCACGATGACATTCAAGCCAGGACATTCGCAGGCTCTGAGCATACCCGTACGTGGTATACTATCTCTAGATGGCACGAACGGCGTCCTGCCGTATCTAAATAGAAGTAGGCCTGAAAAACATGTGCCTTACAAAGAAAACTATCGAAATATGGCTCCCGGTTACACACAGTTTGGTACCGCTGGTGTATTCTGGTAAAATGTTAATGTCGCACACTACAAAGCGTGCACTTCCTAAAGAAAACTTGAAAACCACCCATTGGGGAAACGTGAGGCCCCAAAGTAAAATAATAAAGCACTTGTGGAAGAGATGAGATTTGTAGTACTACACTAATTTTACTGAAATCTTTCAGTGGATCTCTGGCGCATAAACAGGGCAGTCATTTTTGGTTGCTAACTCGCTTCATCAGATATGATTTTTTTCCGCCGCATATTTCTCATTCAGTTACGGCAGGTCACCACTGCTAGCAATGAGAGATGGACCTACGTATTCATCCTCCATCCTCCCGAACTCTCGTGATTTAGAAAAAAAAAGAAGGCTCCTCGTACTTTCCATTGTAGAGCAGTTTGGTCATCTGAGCCACTTCTGCGTACTTATTCGGCGCTGCCATGAAGAAGGCGGCTGCAGGAAAAGAAACAACAACGAAGTAAAACCAATTACATTGCGAGAAAATATGAACGCGTCAAAACGCTCTGACAACTCAACTATTGTACATTTTGGTCAATGAAGTCGTGCACCCGGTTCTGTAAACATTATACGCATGAAGAAACCGGTACCTTATTTATTTATAATAGTGATATGATATATAAAAGTGATATATTAGAGACGCTATAGTGAATGGATCGAAAAATTCGGCATGTGGTGCTTTGTAACATGCACTGAGATCGCACACTATAAGGGCCTCTGCTAGATGGCCTCCATCGAAAAGCGACCGCCACGGACTCTTTCTTTTCCGGCCTCCACCAGTACTGTGCGGAGGTGGCTGACACCTACCACATAATATACGGACGTGCCTGCTCAATATTTCTTCACCCCCGTAGCCCAATCCAACCAGTCAGGACTGGGAGGGGGCTCTGCTCGATTGCCAGGAACTTCCGGCCCAACAAGTCACGGTCCAGCGTGCCAGGACAGCGGTCATGACCAAGGGGATCCCTGACTAGTGACTCCACCTAGTACTGTGGAAGCTAACACACCAGAGCATGGTTTCCCTGGCCACCTCTTCCGTTTTTAATAAATGTTTACCACCACCACCACCGCGACCGGGATCAAACCCGCTACCTTCGGATGAGCACCAGAGCACCCTATAGCCACTGATACACCGAGGCGGACAATGACCGCTGCAAGTACCAAGGTGCTTGTTCTTTTTTGCGCGATTTTTCTAGTTTATTCCTATCACATTCGTTGCTTCAAAGTTGCGGCGAAACTTACGTCATACTGTTGCGTAATAGTAAAAGCAGCCGCAGTTGGACGCGCATAATACAAGTAGACATTGGTGCAGTTTACTTTTTATTCTTAGCTTGTCACCGACTATAGGCTTGTTCATTCTCCGAATCGCTTGTAGAATTTTGCAGCCAGTCTCTTGTCGAGTTTCTCGAATTTATTCACTATTTCCCAAAAATTATGCTTATTTAGGTAATCACCATGTTCAGCAATACAACGTTTGTCGTTCACTATAGCGGCGCTTTTGTCGCTTCTAGTAGTTTAGTGCTGAAGTGAAAAAATACGTTGGGGCAATCAAAAAGAAACCTGACTCAAACACTGGAAACATGCATTCAGCCAAATGGAGACGATGCTGAAAGGTAAATATGCGCTTACCTTCATAGATGCTCCTGCTTTCACTGCACAAAACAGGCGATTCTTTTTTTTTTCAAACTTTGTATTTGAGTGACAGTTTTTGCTATCAAAATATGCTTTAAAAAATTAAAATTGTTGAATTTTCCACTTAATTCGGGCTTGTCTTGTGATGATTACGGACTTGTTAGTTCGGTGGCATCTGGCAGCCCTGCACAGAACGCTCGCTAGTGGCCTGGCCCTGGCATGACTGTATTGATCCCCGCACTACTCTCAGGAAGGTCGAGTGAAATGCGAGATGGGGTGGTGTGCGCGTAACGTAAGACGGCACTCTAGGGCAGCACTGTGGTATACTGTACTCACAGCCTGCGCAGCCAGCGTCGTACTGGAACTGCTTGAGCAACATCGTCGCGCTGTCCTTGAGCGTAACGTCGTCAGCGCTGGTCTTTCCTAACATAGGGGACAGCTTGCCCAGGCTCTGTTCTTTCGGCAGCATGAAGTTGGGAGGCAACACCACGTGGCCGAAGTCAACCTGCATCACAGCGACAAACAAGATACCGAAATGGAAGAAATGCATAAAATAAAATAGATATAAACAATAATTTTAATATGGTAAGGAATTCCGAGATTATGTAGAATCTGGTGGCCTGGCTTAGTCTTGGCTAATCGCTCCAATCGGGAGATTTCTGGCGCCTCGATAAGTTCGTCAAGCGTATTGTGTAAACCCAGTTGAAGGAAGACTTTGGTGCTGGTGCTTCGGGACAACATAGGGCTTGTTTGTAAATTATCCTGATTAGGCTATTGAGTTTTGACTTTTCTGCTGTGAACCATCGGTGGTACGCGGTCGTATAGGTGATTTGACTTAGTACGAATGATTGGATCAGACGGATGATGCTAATCTATTTCATGCCTTTGTGTTTATTAGTAATGCGCCGAATGAGGAGCATCGTGATCGACACTCTGGCGTCAATGTTGTGAACTGTCTCTCCGCTGGTACCTTTGCTTTCTATGATGAGACCTAGCACTCGGATTTTATCCACGGGTGGTATGACGTGGCCGTCGCTTGTAGTGAGTTTTATATCGGTGTGTGTCTGCGCTTGGGGATTGCGCTTGGGTGGTCGACCTGTGAGTGTAGGGTGATATAGCAGTAGCTCAGACCTCTCCGCCCAGCAGGATAGCCCTGTTCCTTGTAAATACCGTTCCACTGTGTCAATATCCTCCTGTGGTCTTTGTTCAATGGAACCATCACTGCCATCCACCCATACCAAGAAACAGTACCACACATACCAAAACAGCACCACTCCTACCAAGAAACATGCACCCTGAACACAACAAGGGCAGACGTGTCAGAGGAGCCAGAGTCATGTCATAGTTTTTTTTTGGAGGTGCAATCATGACGCAGTCTTTGTAAATGCAGCACGCTACCAGAAACTTCACCGCTTCGTGGCTGCTGTCGCAGAACACACACAACGATGCAAAAGCAGCACGTCAGTCATCACACCGAACGCAGAAACGGTGGAGGAATTGGCTATCTCGATGGATATAGCACACAAGAACGCCTCATATGTAATCAGCGACTCGCAGACGGCCGTTCGAAACTACACCAGCGGCGAAATCTCCCCCGAGGCATTGCGGATCCTGAAAGAAGTCATGACATAATCACCCAACAATTTGCGGTTTTTGGCGAAAAACGAAAGTAGAGTGTTGCATACGATTGTGCACGTGTAACAACTAGACTATGAAAGATAATTTCAGTAAAAAATGAGCCGCAGATGTCTTCGGCCGTAAACTCCGCCCACCGCCGGTGACTGCCATTTTGCCACGGCGTGCGTGACGTCACAAACCGATGGGAGCAGTGCCGTCGTCCGCTACCAAACGGCACCTTCGGCCCGTGGTCAGTGTGTTGCGAGTGATGCTTGCCGCGTGGTCCGCACGTGTTGCAAGTGTTGCGAAGTGGTACCGGTACCATCGCCAGGTTGTTCAGCACCATCATCAGCTCCCATTTCGGGCAATGATTCATCGAGCAACAGAAGCGGCGTCGACGTCGTGTACGCTGCGTGTTTTGGTTTTGAGCCCATCGCCACCATCTCGAGCGACGAAGAAAGCGTCGAAGACGAGGCGAACCCAGATACCAACGACCTCGGTGTTGCGGCAAACGTTGCACACGGCCTTCAGCAATGGTAAGTAGCTTTATTTCGAGCGTGCCAGGTTGACAAGCGAAGTTAACGATTAGGAGACGCTGCATTCGCGAGCACACGGTCGGGACAGCGTACGAGCACAGGCTCGGCTTTTTCACTGGTATACCGAACTCGCCGAGACGACGCTAATCATCATTGTAGCTGTCTGCCGTGAAGTGCGCTGAGCACAAAATAGATGTGTTGCCTGCGCACCGGTCTTTCATGCGCACGTTTATCTCTCAAGCCTTGCGTTTGGCGAGCTCTTTAGAAAACTTGAAGAATGACACAGTACTCTCCCTGCTCTGTATACGCTCACAGCGAAGCATGGGCGACGCGGTAGCATTGCTTCAACCGCTGCAAGGGATTCAGTTCTAGTGGCACGTTGAATAACGCTGAAACAACTCGATTGCAAGCGCACCTCACCATGAAACGCGATCGCGCTTTCGTACTGCACACCATGCAGAAGCTCGTGGCACAATCGGTTCGTTACGTTATGGCTAGCGAGCGCGCCAGTGTTTCCCGGCCACTAAGTAACTCGCTCGTTAATAAAAATATCCGATTATAAATTACCGGTCCATTTGCGAACGTCCAAATACCAACCCACACAGCACAGATTATGACCGAAAATTGGGTGTCATAACCCCTGCAATGCAGGCAAAATTTACCAGGCGGATTATTATGTGCACATCTTTTGGTTCCCTGCCTACACACCACTAGGTAACCTGGAGGACAGTCCGAATCAAGTGGCGCACAACGTGGCTCCAGGCTTCTCGTTCCGAGTCGCGTTAGACGAGGTGGCCACCCATACGGACTTTTCTGTGCCGGTGTGGGAATGGGAGGATCGGCTCACTATGACTTATGACATAACTCAACACTATCGACTGCAAAGGTGGGAATACCCCCCACCTCTACCCAAGCTCAATCGAGCCCAGTCCGTTCGATGGCGGCAGCTACAAGCACACACATACACGAACCCTGTAATCATTCATCACATATATCCCGACGTCTATAGATCCAATCTCTGCAAGTACTGTACCACCAGAGCCACTCTTGACCGTATCCTATGTGAATTCCCAGCATTAATCAGAAATTCTGGGGTGGCGGCCTCCAATGAAGACCTTCGGGCGCGTTGGCGGACTGCGCTTTCAGTTCAGGCCTGGACAAGCAACACTGGGCGATCCAGCAGGCCAAGGAAGCTGTCTGGAGACATGGTCTCTGCGTTAGCTCCTAGGCGGCAGCCCCGCCCAGAAATCGGCCGGAAATCAATAAAGTTTACCCCTCTCTCTATGAACAATAATTTTGACGCGTACCATCTCAGCTTGTTTTGTAAGCGTCAGAGCATCACTGGCTTAAGCGTGCGCAGAGTTCTCTTCAGGAGTGCGGGAAAGAGAAGGTTTGTTGGAGAGCCCCACTCCATATAATTGTAGTCAATGTATGAGGCAAACAATGTTCTCACCCCTCCATGTTCTCACCCATCTATCTATCTATCTATCTATCTATCTATCTATCTATCTATCTATCTATCTATCTATCTATCTATCTATCTATCTATCTATCTATCTATCTATCTATCTATCTATCTATCTATCTATCTATCTATCTATCTATCTATCTATCTATCTATCTATCTATCTATCTATCTATCTATCTATCTATCTATCTATCTATCTATCTATCTATCTATCTATCTATCTATCTATCTATCTATCTATCTATCTATCTATCTATCTATCTATCTATCTATCTATCTATCTATATCTATCTATCTATCTATCTATCCGCCTACGACTTTAGCTCTCCTCGCCGTTTGGATAATGTATCGATACCAAACCTGGTATAGCATAACATTACTATATGACGAGCATATTTGACTAGTCATAACATGGAAATCATGACACATATGTCATGAATGTCATGATAGACATTTCATGGTGTTGCTGCTCTTGCCGTGGTTTCATTCACATGACATGTTGCAAAACTTGTATGGCATGACATGATTGCATGGCGAACACAAGTGACAGACCCTAACATGAAAATCATGACATGTGTGTCATCTAACAACATGACTACATGCCACGCTCATGATGCGCTATCGGCCATTTCGCTAGCGTCACATATACCAAATTTGGTATTACGGGACGTGAATGGATGACGAACGTATGAGACTGGTGCAAACATGATAAACCTGAGATCCGTGTCATGTAACAACATGACTGCATGCTACGCTTATGATGCGCTCGTGGCCGTTTAGCTACCTTCACATATGCCAAATTTGGTATTACGTGACGACAATGGATGACGAAGGTATGTGAGTGGAGCAAATATGATAATCGGGAAATGCGTGTCATGTGAAAACATGATTACATGCCACAGTCCAGGCGCCAATATACTTCGACGTGACCCGGCGCACGTGCGCGCCGGCGTTACTTTCTTCGCGTCACGCTGGCGTTGCCACGCCAGGCACCGGTCCTGCCATATATGCGCAGGCACGAGCTGCGTTGCTTTGACGCATGCGCGTTTCAGAGCGTGCAGCGTCCCTCCATCTCAAAAAAATTCCGCCATATCCACGAAGTGAATGATGATGAGTGGGCGAAGCTCCGGAGGTAAACCTGGTAAACCATGAATCCTCTGTACATTTTGCCCACTCGATTTTATTACATCGCTCCCCCTAGCGTACGTCGCCGCACTAAATCGAACGATTGCCTTCAACCAATGACACGCGCCATATGTGACATCATTCCTATTTTATAAGATCTCGCGTCTTTCATCAACTACAAGTACCGCTTTCTAGTTTATAACATCTTGCATCTTTTCATCATCAGCTACAAGTACCACCATCTAGTAAACACTACAAGAACTAAACGAGAGGTGGCTACATACAGGAGACGGTACCGCCATCTAGTGAACACTGCAAGAACTAAACTAGAGGTGGCTACACACAGGGGACGGTACCGCCATCTAGTGAACACTGCAAGAACTAAACTAGAGGTGGCTACATACAGGCTACAGGGGACGCACAGCCCACGCCCGAAGGAGCTTCGCCCCTAAAAGAGGCAGACGCAGTGCTGTCTAGGTAACGCATTGGCGCCAAATGCAGCATGTCGCATTTGGAGCCGGTTGCCATTGGGCCGCGCCCTCGGACGCTGGTGGCGCCTGTCGCGCTTGGCGTCAGACTATAGAGTGCTCGCGTTTTGCTAACGTAGCGTCGCTGTCTCGGCTGCTGACCCGCAGGTCGCGGGTTCGATTCCCGGCTGCGGCGGCTGCATTTCCGATGGAGGCGGAAATGTTGTAGGCCCGTGTACTCAGATTTGGGTGCACGTTAAAGAACCCCAGGTGGTCAAAATTTCCGGAGCCC